GAGTAGGAAGACATTCAAGTAGCAACTCTTAAGAATGCTAATCGTGAGCAGAATGACAATATTTGGAAATTTTTCAAAGCTACCAAATCAACAGGTAGGCAGTAGTAAAACAGCAAGTATGAGAATAAGATACATGAAATTAAGAGTCAGAACGACCAGTGTCCCTGTGGAAAGAAAAGACAGTATCTATAACATGGTTCTGGTGCGTATCTTTTTGCACAAGGCAAGCACAAGGGAAAAACAATGAAGTACCCTCATGTGCAGCTTTACGACAGGCATACATTCTGAGAAATGCGTACTTAGGCAACTTCTTTGTTGGCAAAGGTCACCGAGTGCACTTACACAAACCTAGATGGTTCTAGCCTACCGCACACCTAGGCTGGATGGTATAGCCTATTATTCCCAGGCTACAAGCCTATACAGCATGTTACTGTACAAAACAACAGGAGATTAAATCAAGCACAAGAGAAAGTGATGTAATCAAGATACAAGGTAAACACGAGATGTGTGAAGCTGCTGCCTGCCTAACACAGCATACTGTTCTATAGCAAACATTTCTTTTTAGTAGAAAGAGTACACTGTAACGATAGATAGTATAGTAGTATAGTGAATACATAAGCCAGTAACATAGTTGTTTATTGTCATTATCAAACTCTATATACTCTGCATTCATTGTATGTGCTACGCTTTTATACAACTTGCAGGGCAGGTCTGCTTACTCCAGCAACATCACAAACACGTGAGTAATGCACTGCGCTAGGATGTTACCACAGCTAGGACATCACTAGACGGTAAGAATTATTCAGCTCCATTTTAATCTTATGGAACCACCATTGTATATGGGCCCATTGCTGACAGGTTCACCTTGACAGAAATGTTGTTATGCAGCGCATGGCTGCAACAGGTAACCCAACCACACACTACAGAAAGCAATGGAACGATCAGGGGTAAACAGGAAATTCAGGCTAAAATCTTGACTCAGAAAATAAGCTGCTTAAGAAGCCAAGAAGACTGACTAGTTTTCAAATGATCTAATTTCTCAAGAGTAACACCTGGGAATGGGAGCTGGAGAAAAAAACTAAGTTTTAAAGTGGGGGGGCACTCTCCCTCTTGGGAGCCTGCCTTTCCCTCCCCTTCTTTTCCCACCAGGCGCGGTGCCTTTGCCCTTCTCTCTCCTAAGCTCCAAGGGCCCTTTCTTTGCCCCTTCAACTCGTTTCCTGAGCCCATTTTTTCCACAGCTCACTTCTTCTATCTCTGTGACTTTATTAATAACCTTTCTCTTTTTTTAAAAAAAGTGGGGGAGGGGAAGTAAAGAAATCATGAACAGTGTTATCAAACAGCCATAAACAGTGGCCTCTCTGGGACAACTGAATGGATTTAAATGCCAAAAAAATAAAATCACTGTTAAAGCAAAAGCTAAGATACAATGGTGCTTCAGGAAGGCAGGTCTCCTCAACGCCTAGTCATTTAGGAATATTTTAAAAGACTAAAAGCCACTGCTGCTTCTCTCTCAATCTCCAACCAACACTACACCTAGTGATTTCAAAAACAGTTTACAGGATTTTCCATGTTGGTTTCACGGGTAGAATGAAAAAAATGTCAGGGCAGGGGAGAGCAACGGGGGAAAATTGGGACAACTGCAGGACAATTAAAAAAAAAAAAAAAAGAACGAAAAAATGGGGTGGGAAGAAACTCCACTGAGCTAAATCCACAAGAGACTGAACAAGGTGCTCATAGTACCCTTGACCTTGTCCTGCTCAACATGATTATCAATGACCTGAAGACAGGAATGGTAAATCAGGCTTGCAAATAGTACAAAATGGGAAAGTGACAGCTAATATCACTGATTGCATAATCATTCCCTCCCTACCATGCTCTCTTCTGCCTAGATCAGCATATCCTAAAATGTGTTCCACAAAACACTGACCCTGAAAATGAGGCTCAGAATGGTTCCCCAAGTTCAAAACATCTGGAGAATTTTGCCTTTCTTTCCTTCTTAGTTATTAGCACATCAAAAGCTCTGAGAAACCCTGTAATAAACAAACCTCTATACTGATTGTACTTACTGTTTCCCTAACATTTGCTCTTGAAACACTTTCACTAGCAATCATTAACATCAGCCCAAAGCTAGGTTCAGGTTTTCTGTGCTAAAAAATGATCCAATCCCCTTGAGTTACTACTGCCTTATCACTCTTCTTCCTCCAACTACCATATTAAAAAAAAGAAAGAAAAAACTTGACAACCTGATACTTCCTGCCTCCTGTTTCCTCACCACCTACTCGCTTCCCTGTCACGCAAAATCTGGCGTCAGCCCCTAGTGCTCTCCTGAAAGCTTCTCCTGACGTGCTCACCTGCACTAATAGAACTAATGGCTTCTCTCGGGTCCCTCAATCCCTCCTCAGGGTCACAAAGAAATAGCTGCATTTCTTAAATCTCTTTCCTCAGCTTCCACAACACTGCATTCCACCCATCTCTTTATGTGACCTATGGTTCCTCTTTCTCTTTCTAACTCTTAAATTCTCAGGTCAACTCTTACTTCTCCCTTGAGTAAACTGCTGGTAGTTCGAAGTACTGCCCTTTCATGGGTCCAAAAGTCTAATCCCAAGCCATCTCCTCGACTTCAGATTCAAATTTCCAATGGGCTTCTCAACTTGTTCACTTTACTTTCCTCCAAGGACTAGGCCTTCAACATACTCCAACCAAGCTCATCAATTTCCCCACCAAACTTTCTCTTCTTCTTGCCTTCTTGATGTCTGTTATGGAATCGTGATTCCCAGAGGGTGAGGGGGGCAGCAGTCAGCTGCCTTCTCAGTACACATACAGCATTATGACTATGCCTCTGTTAAAGGACCTATCACAGGTGACTTTACCCACTTAGCTCGTGACCTAGCCTGGAAGTTCTGTCAATCATCTGTGTGGCCCTTGTGCTAAGACGGAAGAAAGTCAACACACTGGAAAATTGAATGAATCCTTTGAATCATACCCAATGTATGGCTCATTCTTCACACTCTAATAACATACCAAGTTCTCTTATACTTAAGAAAAGCTCTGGATTTTTTCCACATGCAAAGCCATTATCCTTCATCAGACTCAGATGAAACCCCAATCCTAAACTACAGCTACCTCCTAACTGGGCAATCAAGCTACCACTGCTACTGGAGCAATCTTTCTAAAAGGCTTCTCTAACCACATCACTCCATGACTCAGACACTTTCAATGGTTTCCCACCAGTTGCAGAATATAGTCTGAACCCCTTAGCATTCTATCACTGCCTTCCCGGTCTGGATCTCTACTATCTTCCCACCTTTATCTTCTACTCCCTATGTTCTAGTCCAGGGGTAGGCACGTTACAGCCAGTGGGCCAAATCCAGGCCACTGTCCGTTTTGTAAATAAGGTTTTACTGGAACATGGCCAGTTGACACTTTGGGCCACATAATTCTTTGTTGTGAGGGGCTGTCCTGTGCACTGTAGAATGTTTAACAGAATCTTTGGCCTCTACCCACTAGATTCCAGTAGCACTTCCCCCATATGACAACCAAAAATGTCTCCAGACATATAAAAACGTCTCCTGAGGACAGAATTGTCCCAGTTAAGAACCACTATTCTGGAGGTTTCCAAGTACAAGCTGAGAGCATGATGTCATAGCTAATAAAATACAGACTGTATAGTAATTGTAGTACAGTGTCCAGATTAAGAGATAAGAGTCACTCAGTATTCAGCGGTAGGTGACTTAGACTTGTGAGACTGTGCTTAATTATGAGTTTTAAGAGGTATTGGAAAACTGGAATTCATGCAACCGAAGGTGACTCTGCTGATGAGAAACAGGAGGGATGTTTAAATAAATGGAGGTGTAAAGCCTGTACAGGCGAAGATGAAGAGAAACCCATGATCTTTAAATATCTGATGGGCTGTCCCACGAGAGGAAGGTTAACTTACTGTTGTTCAGGGAGGAAGAACTAGAAAGAGTGGGCTGCAACTGCAGGAAGGCAGATTTTGGCCCTATACAAGGAAAAGCTTTCTAACAATCAGAGCTGGCCAACAAATCTATTAGGCTGAGCTGTGTATCACTGTCTTTTCATCATTCTGGAAGTGCTCAAGCAGAGCCCAGATGAACTGATGTCAGAGATGCTACAGAGATTCCTGTGTGGGGTAGGGAGGTAGGACAACATGGTCTCTTTAGAGTTTTTCCCAGCTCTGAGACCCTAAGGCTAGCAAAGGAAAAGCCATATGCCATGAATAATAAAATTCCCCAGTTTTAAGACTTTAATTACAAAAAAAGAGAAAACTATTTTGCCAATTTATGCTATGTCTGTGTGGTGACATTTTACATTTAGTCCCTGGCATTGCAACTACCAGTGATCTACAATATTTTTATAATTGACCTTCAATTAGTTCCTGGATAATGTATACCACCTTCTTTAAACCACATCTTTTATTCTAATAATCACCACTAGTACAATGCTTTACAGTTCTGTTTTCAAAGCATTGTGACATGTACTACCTTAGTCACATTAGCTAAATATAAGAATGAAAACTTGTTTTAGATAACCTGTTCTCATAGTGTCTCTTGCCTGAATCTCTTAGTAAAGAAAGCTAGCCTTTATTATTCATTAAATATTCACTAAAGAGAGCATATTCCAGCAGATACTCATCTCCAAAACAAATTATTTATATACAACCCAGAGGTAAGCCAAACCTAGTCATTTCAGCATCAGAACTATAAATTGATCTCAATGAAATTTCTATTTTATTTATGATTTGAGGAGGAAAATATGAAAAATTATAATTTAGGTTGCCCAAATTTCAATGTAGCCTTATGAACGAAAACTTCCGGAAAGCAGTCACAAGAAAACGTGAAGCCCATGTATCATTGACAAGCAAAGCCATTGTAGGTCCTAATTCCAAGGACTCCTTTATATCCCCAGCTAAAACTGCCAACAAGAGTTGTGTAAGGACTTTCCAAAAGCCAAACTGAGCCCTCACCCGCTGCTTTACTTACTTCTTTACGTTTCGTTTCTGGGCATTCCGATTGCAGAGTGAGGGTTGCACCTTCAATATTTCTTGGCATGGGCGTGGAACCAGGGTTTATTGTTAAATGAATCTGATCTGGTGAGATAATGTGCTGCACATAACCCTGGGACATTGCTTCATGATCTATTAGATGAAAGCCCTCTTCACCCCCTACTAGAAAAGGCAAGTGTTCTCCACACTGTCCATCGTCATCTTCATCCTCCAAAGTGCCAGGGTCCTGCTCAATAAGAACAGTTGTCCTATCATAAACAGTTCCAGATGAGGAAGGCACCAGTCCGTTTCTATCCACAAACCTGAGCATCTTATCATCGGGGGCCAGCTCATCTTCCTCTGCCTCAAAGTAGATGATGTTGTTGTCTGGACTGTGTTCCCCCATGGTTCAATTGTGCTCAGCCCAATTGTGAGAAATGGAAAGGTAATGACCTGTCTGCAACAGAACAAAGCCAGAGTTAGGGCCATACCACAGAACCTTAGCACCTTCTCAGCAACTACAGGGTTATTTTCCCCTCTCAGTTCAAGGACAGGTCAAAGTAAATGAAAAATCATCTTCCCTGGGAATAATTTTTAAGTTTTGCTTTGAAATTATTGAACCATTTTAAGTCATGCCTTTTTAAAAAATTGAAGTAATAAATAGCAGTTCACAAGACCTTCCAAATGTGCCTTACTGCCAAACGATTTGAAGGCTGGTCAAAATAATGAGAGGAGATAAAGGGGCAACAAGTCTGAGTTGCTGTAAATATTAAAAGTAAGGAAACCCCACTCAAATATAGCTCCAAATCAGACCATGAAGCAGTGCAGTCTCCAGTGGAAGGAGAGGAGGTTGGAGGGCAGGGTCATCTACCTACAAATTCCATCTCTGCCACTCACTACTTGGGGAAATTTTTTGTGCCTCATTTTTATTATGCATAAGGTGACTGGTAATTCCTGTTCTCTCAAAGTCGTTATGTGGAGAGAAAGAGATAATGTCCATTAAAGTTATAGTTGAGGAAACAAGTGGAAATTCATTTCTCCTTCCCAGAACAGATATTTCAGATTCTGGGTAGAGGGGCTGATCCCTCATCAGGCATATCTAATGAAACCCATTTTATCTGTTTATCTCCTAAAACAACCTGGTATCCAGCAGAAGCTATGCTGGTACAGCACGCTCTCTGCAGTGAGGGAATGAGTAGTCTTTATTTTTGTTTCTAGTGTCCCTAGCACAGTACACTGACACTAGGAGTTTGGGAGAAGTCAGCTAAATGAATGAAAAGACCTACAGATAGACTCTCTTGGGAAGACATGCTCTCTTGGGAAAAATACCAAATTTGAAGCTTTCTTGTTTTGGAATATTGATTCATTTACCTGCAAACAAAGATTCTACAAATGTGGGTTTGGCAAGCAAAACAGATAATTTAAAAATAATCACATCGCTTTTAGCTTTCAGTCTGGATTTGCATTTTATCTTTCTCTTCTGCTCTGGATTAGAAAGTGAACCTTTTCCGTAGTGGGGCGGCTAGACAGAGAGATAGTTACCAGAGACAGGCCAAGGGATCGGATCCGGGAAGAACCCGTCCGACCCCTTGCTCTGGCTTACGCAACCCGGCAGATGCACATTTCGCTGCATCTGCGAGGAAAGAGAGGAATACCCAGGGCCCCCAGTGGGCTGCCCAGGCACCATCGGCGGCAACGTGGAGACCAACTGTCCGAAACAAACAAGACCAGGAGGTTTGAGGATGGCAAACGAGGAGTACAAACAGAGCACCCCTGAGAGAGGGCTGGCAAAAGAGCCTGTCTGGGACAGCTCCCAGCCTGCGCTACACAGAAAAACTGAAGACGGGTTGGGGGGCTCGAAGCCTGGCTTAGAGGGGCAGGGTCCGTCCGGGTCTCCATGGAAACAGGGGAGGGGGACTGGATACCCATTCCCATGGAAACGGAGAAGGGGTGGGGTCCCTATGGTGACCGGACTGGGTTTTCTACTGGGAAATGCTTCAGGAGGGGGCCTAAGTCCCGCGCCCCCCAGGGAAGTCCCCAGCCCAAGCCCTATCTAGTTTCGCCTTTTACCTCCGCGGCTCCCGGCAACGGCGGCAGCGGCAGCTTCTCCCCTCCCCAGCGGCACCATGATTGCCCCCACCTTCCCCGAACGTCACTTCCGCTTCCGCTTTCCGGAGGAAAAAGGAGATACCGGTTCCGCCTCTCCCTGGCGCTTCTGGTTGGTTTAGAGGGTGTGGGGGCTGAGCTCGAACCTCCAATTGACGAGCGGGAGGGACGGGGCACCACGAGACGTAGACTGGCAGTGGGTTAGCCCGGCCCAGGGAAGCGCACACCGCGTCTGTCTCCCGCCGGGAGCCGACGCGACTTGGGAAGGGGACCCTTGCACTAATCCAAAGTAGTGTAAATCCGGCTTGCGCTGGCCGCCTTCTCCATGGCAGCCACAGCCGCAACAGAGAGGACTACGGTCACCCCAAGTCAGGCTGGGACACTCCCGCCATTTCTCTGTGGCCCCAGCTTCACCTCATCACCCATCGGAGTTAATTAATATAGGTAGGAGGGTCCAAGTAAAGAAGATTGAACCCACGTGGCAGAACTACGGAGCATCCGAGGTCGCCGCCGCCTCTTGCCCCTCTCCTACGCTCTCGTAGTAAGTGTAGTTCCCTCACGCTCCAGCCCAGCTGGCTGTCCCAACTTTCCCTTGCTGACGATTGTTTGCTCTTAACCCGGCTCGCGCAGGAGCCAGAGTACGCCACCTTCTGGCCACTCCCTTTCTTTAACCGTTCACAGTCATCCGACTGGCCTATAACTATAGTAAATCACATTTTCACATTTCTTTCAAGTAGTGATGTTCCAGACCCCAAGAAGCGATTCTGATTGTGCCTTCATTACGCTCCTGTCTTCTCTAACTCCCTGGAAAATTAACTGTTAGAACCTCCCAGGAGCCACTGCCTGTTTTCCCCTAAGCTACTCCTTGGAATATTCAAAGTGCAGTAACAACCCCCCCCCCCCCCCCCGCCCCGAGACTAACTAGATCGGGGTCAAGGGGTTCAAGCCATGCCTATACCATCTCTTAATCGAAAAATGTGATTAATGACTGTATCCACTAGATGCCAGGCAAATATCTCTTTGGTCCCTGACCAGCTGCCCCAATGCTTAAGGCAGCAAAGGTCCAGCTGCAGAGAGCTGCCATCTCTTAAGAGATAAAAACATACAACCAACCACTGTTAAAAATACATTTATCATTAAAATATATTACACATATGAGGGAATGCATCATATACAGGTTGGAGGATTTGATGGCCCAGAAAATCCCACTTGTTTAGCCAGAACACCAATTTCTTCAGTATTTTCATTTTCAAGCCACTGTATTGACCTCAGAGGCTGAGTGGCCAGCCCCAGAGTTGCTGTGCCACACCTGAGTAGGAAAGGGGATAGGGTTTGCACATGCAGTACACATGTCCTCAGAGTGCCAGAAGTATCTGGGGTGGCTGTGGCCTGTTTATCCAGCAGCTGCCACTTGCATTCTTGCTGTCCAACTCATTCTCTTCAGTTCCAAAGTGTGTTCAAATATTTGATTGTGGGGAGCTCAGCCCAGGCTACCAGGGAAGGCTCTGACTATATCCAGGAGGCTGGCTGAGTGAGCACAAGAAGTACAGTTACTTAAACATTTCTAAAATTTAAAAAAAAATAGAGATCTATCTGTGTTAAATTAACTAAAGTTGAACATTGAATGTCAGTTTTATGGTGGTGGATTTCTCCTCATGTCCTCACAACTCACAGCAGCACTGAGTGTGACAGCCATGGCAGGAAATAATGGCCTGGGCTCAGGAAACAGGCAGTTGCCAGTCTTGCTTCCAAGTGGCCTCACATCCTTTTAAGGCCACTCTTGAACTGAAACAGGTAGGACTGGTAATTCACTGCCTCAGGTGAAATAGGAAAAGAGACAGAGAGGCTCAGAGTGAGTTGCAGAGGAACTGGTGAATAAATTCTTGCGCCTTCTTCTTCTCTGCCATTTCAAGCTTTTGGTGACCAGCTGGGTTTCGAAGCAGTAAGCTGCCAAATATGCTAGCTGCATGAAAAACACAGAAAACAAATGATTCAGCAAAAGATGGTACTAATTTTTTGTGTTATTAGGAGTGGGGAAGGGTACTCAAAAGCAAATTTTCTGCTTTAACATCTATTTGAGGGTAAACTGGACCTAGAGTTCAAGATTTTAGTTTCATTATAGGGAACTTAGGACCTTCCTCAACCACATTTCTCATAATGAGTCTCTCAGTTTGCAGAGATGCTTTCCACAGGCACTTGGATACTTACCTAGAATATTCTGATCCAAATGATTTTTTTCTGAATTTTTCAGCAATTCTTGCAAAAACGCCATCAAGTAGTAGAAGACATTTCTGTGGAATGTGGGGAGAGTAGAAATGACCTGAAAGAGGGAGAGCTGGGATTTGTCTTTTCATTCATTTAATTATTTGTCAAGTGTCTGCTATATTCCAAGAACTGAGTACATAATCCAAATACATTAGTAAAACTGTGCACAGAAAACCTTGATTACTTATCATTTGGCACAAGTGCCAAAAGAGAAGCACAGATCAAGTGCTACATGAATTTAGAGGTCAAACTTATAACTAAGTGCTCTCCAAAGATAAGAGAACAGAAGACATTTTAGTTGGGTCTTGAATGTAAGACAAGATTGGACTTGCAGAGGTAAGGATTAGGGTATTTAGAGCGAAAAAAGTGTAAAACAAGAGAAGAGAAGGAAAACAGTGAGATAAGGAGACAGAACAAATTATGAGAAGTCATTGTTGGCAGGAACATAACTGAACAAGTGCTAAGCCTGGACGAGATCAGGTTGGAATTCAACGAGTACTCCAGCTATCTGCATATCGGAATTGGGAAGCTTGTACAAAATACATTCCAAAGAAGATTCTGTTCAGTGGATGTGGGGTGAGGCTCTAGGACCTATAATATTAGCAGGTTTCTAGATTATTCTCCCATGGCCTGTTACATATGTGAGCAAGTACAATAGATCATAGGAAGTCCTAAATATTTAAGAAAATCATTAATTGGCCATGGAAAGCCAAGTATGACCTTTGACCAACAGTAACACGAGAGCTTTAGAACACAACCAAATGGCAGTATTCAAAGAATATCAGCTTAGGGAGAGCCTGCAGGCCAGGCCTTGGACCAAGGAAAGTAGAATGAGAATGGACGAAAAAAGATCAGTGATAGATCAAGGGGGACTGGGCATGTGGGAGGTGAGAAGTGGAGTCAGAAATGACTCAGGTTTCTGGGTTGAGTCACTGCAATTAAGTGTGATGCCATTAAAAGGAAAAAGGAACCTGAGAGGCAAAACAGGTTTGGGAAGAAAAGATACAGGAGCTGAAGTTTCTAAGATACTACACGTGACAGGCTGTGACTACTCTGTTCCTTCAGGCCCCATGACGCCTGGGGGCTACAACATGTGTATGCTGATACTCAGCGCTTGCCCTCACCTGTTTACTTGCTATGTAGTTGCCAGAACACTCCAAGCAGTTATGATAGGCACTGTAACAGATGACGGGCTCTGGCAGGCTCTCCAGGAAAAGCAGCAAGGCTTCAGCTACGGAATGATTGCTAGCAGCTTTTGGCCCACCGTTAAGGAACAGGTGATGCTGCTGCCCATGATTAGGAAAGGGCCCAAGAGTGAGCACATGCCAGAAGTGCTGCCTGCCTGATAGCGTGAAGGGGCCAAGCTGTTTGTTAGCTTAGTTGGGTCCCCCTGAGCTCCTACTATATTGGTTGCTTACAGTTGTAAAGTCTTCTCTATGCAAACTTTAAGAAAAACATGATAGCGGAGAACACAATATCTGATTTTGAGCCTTACAATATTATTCTTTCCTTTCTCCACCTCTTTTACTCACACACACACACACACACACACACACACACAAAGGATACAGAGGATATCGAGGTTATCCATCATTCCAGTATCCAAACAGTCCCTGATTTTCTCAAATTCATTTCGCAGGCCTGGCTGTTGAAACAGATCTTCCTGAAAAAGGGGAGAAAGTCACAAAGTAATTATATTCTCAGAAAATCACCAATGATTTCCTGACCTAGAAATGTAATTGCCAGCAGAGAACAAAAAGAAGCAGTGTAGTGGGGACTCTGAGTCACCCTGGTAGACAATCTTATTTAGGCTGGTGTGGCTAATTCATCTTGCAGGTCTTCCCAGGCATGTTTCCACAACAGGTCTTTAGAATGATAAGTCATCTATTATAAAACTATGGGCAGGGCATACTATACACAACAGTAAGATCCAACATAAGGGAACACTTACAAGTAGCTATGTTTCCTGCAGTATTATTGAGGGATTAATCAGAAAAAGAAAAATCTGAAGAAACTGTATCATTTATAAGATGAAGAAAACTAAGACAGTTCATTGCTTTATGAAAACATTATGGCAATAAAGGTATTTCCGGTAGGCCTAGGGGACTTTATATTTATTATGTGTTTTATAATATGACTTAATGCCATCCAACTGTGTTAGTAATAACCATATGATATGTATTGTTCAAAAGTTAGACTTGAGAAGAACTCCACAGAGAAGGTAGAAGAGCATGGTACTTAAGAATGTGATTTCTATAGCCAAACTCACTGGGTTCCAAACCCAATCCTGCCCATTTATCAGCTTTGGGAGCTTGACCAAGTTATTTAACCTTTCTGAGGCAATGCTGTAAAACACTTAGGACAAGGTTTGGAGCACTGTAACACAATAAATGTGAAGGAAAAAAGTGAAAAGAGTAATATCATAAGAATAGATGCTGCTCTGTCTCACTGGGACCTATATAAATGAATCAGTGAAACTGCCCAATCTGATCTCATGAGGCTTTCCCAAGTCATTCTAGAAATCAGACCTCCTGACTCATGGCCTGGAAATTCCATCTGGTCTCCTGTCTCTGTCTGGCTTGACAACAAGTTAGTCCTCCCATTCCCAGAAGCTAAGGAGAGTTCTTCAAAAGGATAGCAGGCTAAGTGCCTGAGGAGTCTCCAGATGGCTTTCTACTTGGGCCACCCCAGAGGCCAGGGGAGGGAACAAGTTGCACTGGGAAGACCATCCTATGCTAGGCTGTTTCCCTTGGGGATAATC